GGTGTGTTTTCCCACCTGGTTTTTAAACTCTGGGGTTTAGATGGATTGCCTCACTTCCGGGTTTCCTTCATAGTGGAATGTATATGGGGTCGAGTTCAATGTGTTTATTCATTTCTGATATCAAAAACACATTGGAACACACCACAAGACTCCTACGACCGCTGGGCATCAGAGTGGCACACAAGCCCACGTCAACCCTACGACAACTGCTCACCCGAACCAAGGACCCACTCCCCGCCATGGACAGGACCAATGTCATCTACAAGATCCCCTGCAGAGATGGTGAGAAACACTACATTGGACAGACAGGAAGGAAACTAACAACAAGAGTACATGAACACCAACTGGCTACAAAAGGCACAACCAATACTCACTCATCTCAATCCACACGGACAAGGAGAACCACCACTTCGACTGGGACAACACCAAGATCCTGGGCTAGGCAGCGACAGGCACGAGAATTCCTAGAAGCATGGCACTCCACGAAGCATGCTATTAATAAACACATTGAACTCGACCCCATATACATTCAACTACGAAGGAAAACCGGAAGTGAGGCGATCCACCTCAACGGATCCCAGAGTTTAAAAACCAGGTGGGAAAACACACCTATGCTTCTTCGGAGGCTGCACTGAGGATGTTACCAAGCATGGTACTGAAACGTCTATGAAACGAGAAACCAGCTCAGCGAGCCAACCAACTTCAACAACCTCAAGAATCTCTTGTATCTATACCAGAGGTATTTTTCAGCCTCAATCCTGATTCTTTAGAATTCATTCACATTATGCTTGGAGGCAGCCCACAACTGTGTACTACACATTGTTTTTTAATCACATACTTGCTTTGACTTTGACTTACAGGCTGCAAGCCTCAGTATGGATTGTATTGCTTTCTTAGCGTGAAGGTTCTTTAAAAACGATAAGGTTAGACTTTTAAAAACACTTTGCTGTTCCCCTGCTTTGAGTAGCTCTCCTGAGGACTCTCCGAGGTCAGCTGTGGAATTTCACTGTTTGTTTATTTTTCTTAGACAAATTCCAATGTCCAGAGATACTTGTAAATAAACAGCACAGACAGTCTACTGCCTGGTAATCCGTTGTGCAGGTTCACTGCTCCTTTTTCACCTCCCATGTGAGAGCTGCTCTCTATCTCTCTCTTCCCCCTAGTTGAAGTTCTATTGTTTTGATCTTTTTCCCAAAATCCCAAAACAACGCAACAGCTTATAAAACAGTAATTACTGTTCCAAGAATTTGAGGAAATTGGCTCCAACACTGAAAAAATCTCAAAAAAGGAACAGCTCTTATAGCCACAATTTTTCTCCATCCTCCATCTTGGATTACCCAGAATCCATTTTGAAGAAGTGATGATGAGGATTGATGAAGGCAGAGCGGTCAATATGGTCTTTATGGACTTCAGTCAGGTGTTTGACAAGGTTTTGTTAACAAGGTTAGTTTACATGGAATACAGGGAGAACTAACCATTTGGATACATAATTAGCTCAAAGGTAGGAAATAAAGGGTGGTGGTGGAGGGTTGCTTTTTGGATTGGAAACCTGTGACCAGCGGTGTGCTGCAAAGTTTAGTGTAGAGTCCACTGCTTTTTTTCATTTATATAAGTGATTTGGATGTGAAATAGGAGGTATGGTTAGTAAGTTTGCAGATGATATCAAAATTTGTGGTGGAGTGAACAGCCAAGACGGGATCTTGATCAAATGGCCTGAAGGGTCGAGGAGTGGCAGATGGAGTGTAATTTAGATAAACGTAAGGTGCTGCATTTTGGTTGAGCAAATCAGGGCAGGACTTATACACTTAATGGTAAGGTCCTGAGGAGAGTTGCTGAACAAAGAGACCTTGGAGTGCAGGTTCATAGTTCCTTGAAAGTGGAGTCGCAGGTAGACAGGCTAGTGAAGATGATGTTTGGTATACTTGCCTTTATTGGTGTGCATTGTGTATAGGGAGATAATGTTGTGGCTGTAGAGGACGATGGTTAGGCCACTTTTTGGAATAATGCGTTCAATTCTGGTCACCATGCTATAGGACACATGTTGTGAAATTTGAAAATGTTCAGAAAAGATATACAAGGATGTTGCCAGATTGGAGGCTTTGAGTTAAAGGGAGAAGAAGAATAGGCTGGGGCTATTTTCCCTGGAGTGTTGGAGGCTGATGGGTGGCCTTATAGAGGTTTATAAAATCATGAGGTGAATGGATAGGGTGAGTAGTCAAGGTCTTTTCCCCACCGTAGGTGAGTCCAAAACTAGAGGGTACAGGGTTAAGGTGAGAGGGGAAAGATTTAAAAGGGACACAAGGGGCTACGTTTTCACAGAGGGTTGTACGTGTATGGAATGAACTGCCAGTAGAAGTGGCGGATGCTGGTACAATTATAACATTTAAAAAGGTATCTGGTAAGGTATGTGAACAGGAAGGGTTTGAAGGGATAGGGGCAAAATGGTGACAAATGGGACTTTAGGATATCTGGTCTGTTAATTTAGGATAACTGGTCGGCATGGAAGAGTTGGACCGAAGGGTCTGTTTCCATGCTGCACATCTCTATGACTCTTGTATTCGTGTACAAATTGCCAGCTTCTGTAATTTGCCTTGATTTTTACAACAGAGGAAGAGCAGGCGGCTTGTTAACTGCGAGGAATATAGAATAGTCAAGTGTGTGGATATGTTTCTGTGCTGTACCATGCAACATCAATGTCATGCATGTAGCACGTGCCAGCAGTTTACAGAGCAAACTCACTACGTTATCCAAAAAAATTATCATGTGTGAAAGTCAATTGGAATAATTTCTCTGCTGGGTGAAGAGGGACTATAGTCATATTCCAATCAAGATGATAGGCCACAGTCAGTCAGTCACAGTCAGCTTGGTCCTATCACAGTCTGGGCATCCTGGTCCTAATAATCTTGGGATTAGATCATGTTCAGTGCAGGTCAAGTACACCAATCTAAGGCAAGTTTTTGCTCTAATGAGACAAACAGGGATAGAAGCATAGAGTCATATAGTATTGGAAACAGACCCTTCGGTCCAACTCACCTAAACTGCTCAGTCATCCCAATCTGACCTAGTCTCATTTGCCAGCATTTGGCCCACATCCCTCTAAATCCTTCCTATTCATAAGCCCATCGAGATGCCTTTTAAATGTTGTAATTGCATCCACCTCCACCACTTCCTCTGGCAACTTGTTCCATTTACGCACCAACTTCTGCATGAAAAAGCTACCCCTCAGGTTCTTTTTAAAATCTTTCCCTTCTCACTTAGACCTATGCCATCTAGTTTTGGACTCCTCCACCCCTCAGAAAGAAGATTTTGGCTATTTACCCTACCCATATCCCTCATGATTTTATAAACCTCTATAAAACCACCCCTAAGCCTTTGATGCTCCAGGGAAAAAAGCCTCTGCTGATTCAGCCTCTTCCTATAACTCAAACCCTCCAGTCCAGGCAACATCATTGCAAATCTTTTTTGCAACTTTCCAAGTTTAACAATATCCTTCCTACTGAAGGGCGACCAGAATTGTACGCAGTATTCTAAAAGTGGTCTCAACAATGTCCTGTAGAGCTGCAACATGATGTCCCAAATCCTGCACTCAAATGTTCTGACCAATGAATGCAAGCATGCCAAATGTCTTCTTCACCAATTCCCTCCCATCTACCTGCGACTCCACTTTAAAGGAACTATGCACCTGCATCCCTAGATCTCTCATCCCTAGACACTCCCCAGGGGTCTACCATTAACTATATAAGTCCTGCTTGATTCGTCTTACCAAAATGCAACACTTCACGTTTATTTAAATTGAAATCCATTTGTCACTTCTCGGCCCATCGGCTCATCTGGCCAAGGTCCCATTGTACTTTGAGATATTCTTCTTCACCGTCCACTGCACCATCTATTTGGTGTCATCTGCAAACTTACTAACTACACCTCCTATATTCACATCCAAATCATTTACGTAAATGACAAAAAGTGGTGGACCCGGCACCGATCCTTGTGGCATATCACTGGTAACAGGCTTCCGGTCTGAAAATCAGCCCTCTACCACCATCCTCTGTATACTACCTTTAAGCCAATTCTGTATCTGTATTTTTCCAAAGTCCATTTAGACAACACCTACTGCTCTGTTTCAGTCTTCTTTGTCACCCTTTCAAAAAACTCAGCAAAGTTCATGAGACATAATTTCCCATGCACAAAGCCATGTTGACTATCCCTAATTAGTCCTTGTCATTCCAAATGCTATAATCCTGTATCTCAGAATCCCCTTCAATGGTCAATACTTCCGGAGCTTTTTCTTATAGCCTTTCTTAAACATTGGCATCACATTAGCCAGTTTTCCAGCAGCTCCCCTGTGGCTGATGCTGATACAAATATCTCAGCAATCTCTTCCCTAGCTCCCCATATATGTTGAGTATAACGGAAATGTGTGCAATAGCCCTTAGTGCTGAATGCACAAAAAGAGGTTTAGGTGTCCCAGTGAGATAATAAAAAGTGCAGAGAATTAAGGGTTAGTAGTTTAGGAGCATGAGGTGGATGAGAACTATCAAGTAGATGTCATTTGTGTAGTAGTGAGAGTTGCAATACATTAGATTTGATGAGATGTGTGTACAATGACAAAGCTGGAGAGACTGTGTCTTTTCCCTAGGGTGGCGCGATTTCAAAACTACATGCATATTTTTAAGTTGAGAGGAGAAAGATTTAAAAAAGATATGGGGACTTTGTTTTTTTTTTTTTTACAGACAGTAGTTCATGCATGGAATAATCTTCCAGAGGAAGCCATGGATGTGGGTACAGTTATAACGTTTAAAAAACATTTGGTAAGTACATGAATAGGAAAAGTTTGGAGGAATATGGGCCAAACACAGGCAGGTGAGATTAGTTTAGTTGAGATTATGGTCAGCGTGGACTGGTTGTATCAAAGGGTCTGTTTCCATGCTGTATGTCTCTATCACTCTATGACTGGTGACCATGGGAAAATGAGGTAGAAGAGAGAAGATGGTGGCACTTACCCTGCTGAAGATCATTTACCTTCTTGTTGTATTGCCGGATGTCCCTTTTGACTTGGGACACAGCTCAGAACCAGGCTGCAATTTGGGCCCAAGCTGACTTGGTCTGGTGGTGTTATTTCCTGTGGTGGTCTTTCTCAACTGTTCTCTTCAACACCCAATCTACCGAAACATCCAGGTCCCTATCTTTGTAGTGGTGCGAAGCTTTCCTTTCCTTTTGACCATGTCCTGAATATAGAGGGTCAAGCAGCACAGTGTCAGCTCTTGTTCTTTGTTTGTAGCATCTTAAGTGGTGAGTAGCTGCCTTTAAATACGGCACCAGTGACAAGACTATGAAAGATTCTGACAGTGGCTTCTCTGGTGACAATATATGATTAACAACATGAAGAACATAAACCTGTAAAAAGTCTCTTTGAATCATGGAAAATTAGATGCCATGGACATCACTTGTCAAAACACTAATGGAATTTGTGACAATTTTGCCCTAAGTGCGTAAGTCTGTGATATTGTAACCTTGTAAATAGTTATTGTTGTAAGTAAACTTTAAGACATTAGTCTCAGAAGATCACAATTTTATGGTATATGTTACCTTTAAGGTCCTAACATATAGAAAATCACAGATTTGCATCAAAACTCATAGTAACTGTATGGCATTGACAATGGAACCCTTAATGACAGAGAATTATTTTGCTCTTGGGTTTCCAATATACATCAATTTTTTGTGTTCAGTTCACTTAATTAGGATCGATCTAAGGAAGTGCAACTTCACAAACCTGCTTCAACATATATTACTGAGGATACTAAAGGAGTACAAAATATAAGGAGCATGAGTAGAGTTACGTAGACATATCACTGAAGTTACAAGCTACATGGCAAAAAGTAAGCAGGATCAGTCTGATGCAATTCTAATCCCAAAAAGGACTGAACTCATTGCAACGCCTTTTCTTCTTGCAACACATGGAAATGGATACAGTATAGGTAAATCTAAAATCCTACATGGTCATAATCTCATTCAGCAATCATCTCACTTATTGTTTCTACTGTGGAAACAGCTAGTGCGGCATCAGGGTAAATCTTAAGACACACACCCCAGCAAGGAGAAATCATAAATATCATTATGACCAGTTCTTTTATCTCTACAAATACTGACTAATCTGCTGTATATTTCTAATCTTTTGTTTTTCTTTCAGCAGGATTCCATTTACCACAATTTTCAAAAAAAGTGCTTTTATTTCCCTGAAATGGTTGTATTTGACCTTTCCCTTAAATGACCATAAGGTTGTTCATGATTTAAAATAGCAAATTTATTGATCATAAATAGCTGTAGAACAAATGAAGACACTTTTTTTTCACATTTTGTGTTATAGTAATGTTCTGCTTTCATAAAGATGTTTTAAGTCATTGGGGGTTATCCATGCTTTGCAAAAGACCTCCCTAGTGCAAAATCTAATGTTAATCTCAAAAAATGTAATGCTCTTCATTAAAAAATAATTACTAACTTGGTTTCCTGCAGCTGCCTAACACTAGGAGAATATTCCATCGTATCATCTATATTACTTCTGAGCCAACAGCATAGATGTTTCATTTTGGAATAGAACAGTAGTTCAATTAAATTTGGGTTGTATGGAGACAGAGAGTAGAATTTTCCAAAAAGGGACTGAATCCCGACAGTGGTACAAAATGGGTATCCGCAACACACATGGCCAACCAACATGCATTTCCCCTTAATTTTACAGGTGGTGGCTCATGAGTAAGTTGCCACTGGTGCTGCTGTTTCGGATGGCTGCCCATCCCCTGTCCAATTTTTATTAATTAGAATGTAATCAGAGTATGAGGTTAATTGTCATTCCCATTGCCTCAGCATCAAGTTGTAGGAATAACCTGAAAAGTGACTTTGTTGGCCTTAGCAATGGAGAAAATGCATGAGATGAGTGGGCTATCATTGGATATTCAAAATCTAAGTGATTTTCAATATGCTAATATGTAAATTAAAAACTCTGCTTGTTATTCAGATCCATGCATATGCTAAACAATTTCACAGGCAGTTGAGCCAAAGATAGTATAGTAACTATTATAAAATTATATTTCCACTCTTTCAGTATCTATATTGCTCAGTTCTACTCGCTACCTTTGATCAACAGATAAAAAGTTTTTAATAGAACCTTGAAAGACAACAAATGAACAGATGATTTAATATGAGAGGAAGTGGTGGAGGTTGCTACAAGTTCAACATTTAGAGGCATCTGAATGTGTATATGAATAGGAAAGATGTAGAGGAATATGGGCCAAACTCTGGCCGACGGGACTAATTTAGGATATCTGGTCGGCATGGTTGAGTTGGACCAAAGGGTCTGTTTCCATGTTGTACATTTCTATGTCTCTATGACTTTGTGACTTGCCAGCATTGATTTTTCTGTTGATTATTAAGACAGATGGGCTTAAGTACAGCATAAGTGACCAGAAATGTCTGGAGATTGCCAGTGAGCTATAAATTGAGTTCAGGAAACTTTGGTGGAAAACAGGTGTCAATTTCAATGTCGATAGGGATTTTTTTTTCAATTGTTCTTGGGATGTGATGTGTTGCTAGAAAGAACATTATTTATCGCCCAATATAAATTGCTAATAGAGAAGGTGCTAGTGAAGAGTCTTGTGTTGGTGTACCCACAGTGCTATCAGGGAAGGAGTTTCAGGACCTTGAATGAAGGAGGCTGAAGGAACAGGAATATAGTTCTAAGTCGGGATGTGTTGTGTCTTAGAGGGCATCTGAAGTGATGTTTCCATTTTCCTTCACCTGACATCGTGTCCTTCCAGGAGATAGAGATGTTGGTTTAAAAGGTGATGTTGAAGGAGCCTTGAGACAGTTCTGCGGTGTTTCTTGTAATTGGCACTTGCATACAGCTATGATTGTATGCAAATAGTGGAGTGAATGAATACTTAAGCTGGTGGATAGGCTGCTGATCAGCAAGTTATTTTGTACTGGATGGCATGGACCTTTTTTTAGTCCTGTTGGAGGTTAAGTATTAATTTATCTAGTTGTTCATTCACCGGATGTGGGCATCATTGCTTGGACCAGCATTAATTGTCTATCACTAATTCCCTTTGAGAAGGTGATGGTGAGCTAAGTTCTTGAACAGCAGCAGTCCATTTGTTGTAGGCACCCTCACAATGCTGTTGTGGAGGGGGTGTGAGCACTTTGACCCAGTGATACTGGAGGAACAGTGATATATTTCCAAGTGTGAACGGTAAGCGGCTTTGAGCCGAACTTTCGGGGCGGGGGGGGGAGAAAGAGGTGGGCATACTCCCATGTATATGCTACTCCTGTCCTCTCGACAGCACTGGTCTCGTTTAGAAGATGCTGTCTAAGGGGCAGTGCATCTTGTAGATGATACACACTGCTGCAACTGAGCATCAGTGGTGATGGTAAAGAATGCTTGTGGATGTAATGCCAATCAAGCAGGTTGCCTTTTTGTAAATGGCGTCATGCCTGTTGAGTATTGTTAGAGCTGAACTCATCCAGGAAAGTGGGAGCATTGGCATTACACTCCTGACTTGTACCTTGTAGATCTACAGGCAATGGGGAGTCAAGAGGATGTTGATAGTTCAGATTAAGTGATCGGAATGTGAGAACAGCAGAACAATGGTGTGTCTAAGTGCCAGACTAGAAAGAACCAACAGTCCCACTGGAGTGGCGGGAGGAGAGAGAGGACAAGGCAACAGAACATGGAACAAGTAAAATTAAAGAGAAAGGAAAGGAATGGGAATGTGTTCACAATCTGAAGGTGTTGAACTCAATATTCTCTCTGTGGCTGAATGTACTGTCCTTGGCAAAGGACTCAGCTTCATACTGAAATGCACCTTAATGAATTTTGGGCTCACCATGATCTTGAACAATTTTTTCGGTGCCTCCGTCTCCACAATCATTTCTTCAGGCAGGAATCCCCCCAGCCATTCCACTGATCGCTTCACCTGCCTCCACTTGGACCCCTTCCTCTGACCTCTTACCGATCCTCAATAACTTCATTAAAAATCATCAGCGTGACATCAGCCGTCTCACTTTCTCCGCTCCTCTTCTGAAATTGCCACATTCCGCTCTCTCAGGTTCAACCCTAACTTTGCCATCAAACTCGGTGACAAAGACGGTGCCATTGTAGTCTGGTGCACTGATCTGTACCTTGTGGAGGCTCAACGCCAACTCTTGGATACTTCTTCCTGCCTCCCACTGGGCCATGACCCCACATCTGAACACCAAGCCATTGTTGCCAGGACTGTCTCTGACCTCATTACCTCCGGATATCTTCCTCACACTGTCTCCAACGTTATACTCTCCCAACCCTGAACAGCCTGTTGCTATCTCCTTCCCAAAATCCACAAGCTTGAATGTCCTGGTAGGCCCATCATATCAGCCTCTTCCTGCCCCAATGAGCTTATTTCCTCCTTGACTCCATCCTCTTATCCCTTATCCAGACCCTGCCCACCAATATTCATTATTACTCTGATACCATCTGCCATATTGACAATTTCCAGTTCCCTGGCACTAATTGCCTCCTCTTCACCATGGATTTACAATCCCTCTATACATCCATTCCCCACCAGGATGGTCTGAGAGCTCTCGGCTATTTCCTTACCTAGAAGCCTGAATAATCCCGATCCACCACCACCATGATCTGCTTGGCTGAACTTGTTCTCTCACTCAACAATTTAATTCATCTCACTTCTTCCAATTCAAAGGAGTGGCATGCATAGGTCCCAGTTATGCCCACCTCTTTATAGGGTATGTGGAACAATTCTGGTTCCGATCCTACACTGGCCCCCTCCCGTAACTCTTTTTCCGGTACATCGGTGACCATTTCAGCGCCTCTTTATGCTCCCGTCTGGATCTTGAAAAATTTGTTCATTTTGCCTCCAATTTCCCTCTATCACTTTCACATGATCCAGCTCCAACAATTTTCTCCCTTTCCTTGACTTCTCCATCTCCATTTCGGGGAAGGCCATCCACTATTAAGCCACTGACTCTCATAGCTACTTTCCCTGCAGCTTTTCACACCCCCCCCATTCTGCAAGGATTCCATCCCATTCTCCTAGTTCCTTTGCATACATCACATCTGTTTGGATGATGCTACAACAGCACTGCTGACATGGCTTCTTTCTTTCATAACCATGGTTTCCCACCCACTGTGGTTGACAGGGTCCCCACCTATACCACTCATGCTTCTGCCCTTGGCCCTGCCCCTTCCCATCACTCAACAACATAATCGGGTCCGCACTGTCCTCACTTTTCATCGCACCAGCCTCCGCATTCAAAGAATCATTCTCCGTCATTTCAGACAACTCCAGTAGAATGCCACCATGAAAGACACCTTCGACACACTCCACTGTCTGCACTTCGCAGGGACCATTCCCTCTGGGACACGCTAGTCCATTCCTCAACCACTAACACCACCCCCTCTTCCCATGGCAGCTTCCCAGGTAACTGCAGACGGTGGAACACCTGATCCTTCACGTCTCCCCTGCTCACCATCCAAGGGCCAAAACAGTCTTTCCAGGAGAATTAGCATTTTACTCGTACCTCCTCCAATCTGGTCTATTTCATTCGCTGCACCCAATGTGGCCTCCTCTACATTGGAGAAACCAAACACAGGCTTGGTGACTGCTTTGCAGAATGTCTCCAGGCTGTATGCAAGCATGACCCCGACCTTCCCATGATCAATCATTTTAACACAGCATCCTACTCACATGCCCACTTGTCTGTCCTGGGCATGCTGCAATGTTCCAGTGAATCACAGCACAAACTGGAGGAACAACACCTCATTTTCAGACTAGGCATTTTACAATCTTTTAGATTTAATATTGAGTTCAATGCCTTCAGATTGTGAACCCATTCCCATTCCTTTCTTTTAGCTTTACTTGTTCCATCCTCTGTTGCCATGTCCTCTCTCCCCTCCTACCATTCAAGTGGGATTGTCTGCTCTTTCTAGTCTGGCAGTTAGACACACCATTGTTCTGCCATTCTCATATTCCGATCACTTAATCTGCTCCATCAACATGCTTTCTACTGCTGCACTCCACTCCCCCCAACTATTGCATAAACGCTGCCCCCTCCACACTTCATGTCAACTCTGATGAAGAGTCATCTAGACTCAAAACATTAGCTTGCTCTCTTTTCATGAATGCTGCCTGACCTGCTGTGATTTTCAGCATTTTTTGTTTTCAGGACTTAATTCCAGCATCTGAGTAATTTGCTTTATCAGTTATGTCCTGTCAGGCTTTTTGTACCTGATGTTGTAGCATCTTGTCTGGCAGAAGGTGACATTGCTCTTGCTCAATGTTCTCATCTTATTCTTTGGAACACTACTGCTGCTTTTCCAGCTCTTTAGCGTCCATCATACCCCACTGTGTCTGCTCTAATTGTACAGAGCACAGCGTGTTAGGATTATGTGGCACAATCCCTGCCAGACTGATTGCACGCTTCAGAACCCCACCTTCAGGAAACAGAATTAAAAAGAATCAATGTGGTTTCATGAAGGAGAAATCATAACTGACAAATTTATTACAGTAGAGGACTGGTTAACAAATAGGGAGTTGTAATAAAGAAGTTATTTTCAGGATGGCTACCTGTATCTAGTTGAGTGGCACAGGGATCAGAATTGGGACCACAATTATTAACATTATATGTAATTGATGAGGAAAGTGAATGTGCTATCAATAAGTGTGTGGAAGACATTGAAATAACTTTGAAGGTAAATAGAAAGGATGAAACAAGGAGTTTACAGAGGGATATAGATAGGTTAAATGAGCAGCCAAAAACTTGGTAGATGGAAAATAATGTGAAATAATGTGAGGATTCTTTTGCCCCTCACCATGGGCGAATTTTCTGATACCATGAGAAGCATGGACAATGCCAAGAAATGTAGGAAAATATGGTGAGAATGAAAAATGATTTTCAACTTCAAGAAAAAAAATTCAAATTTCCCCTTAAGGTTTTATGGGTGAGCTCAGAATCTCACAGATAAGCAGTGACTACCTCATTTCCAAGTGTTTGCATCTCATTATTCACGAAATTAGCCTAATTTATCTGCAGCTCATCATCCTTCATTATACTGACAAGAAACTAGATGGTACCAATTCCTGACTTGAGAGTCAGAATAGTTATCTGGTGGATGCAGTTCATTGCTTCCTTCACCCAACCTTCATTTTAGAGTTCATTCACCAACATGTCATAGCATGTTCTATTGACAACGTCCATTGCCACCCTGCATGCATGGAAGGTTGGCATTGGCACAATACCAATCTCACTAGATCACCATGGCCAATCTCAAATAACTCATAATACACTGCAGCACTTTACTTTGGAGCTCAGACAGTTTACATTGAAAAGGTTCTTTTTTGTATTGATGAGTAGGGCCTACAGAGTAAAGTGAGATTGCTTGAAGATTTCAAGCATGCAATCACTTGAATAACAAGACATTTATCCATAAATATAAAAGGTCTAGAACTGCAAAAATATCTGCTGAAAACTATGAAGGGTTTTGGGCCCCTTATCTAAGGGAAGATATTGAAGGTAATCTACAGGAGGATCACCAGGCTATTACCAGGTATTGAGGGACGGTCTTATGAGGAGAAGTTGAGTCTTTGCTCATTGGAATATAGTAAATAAAGTCATCATAATCCCAGAGGAGCATAAGGCTGGTCTTTCATTAAAAAGAGAGGTGACTGGTGGTGGTTTAACCTGAGGTTCACAATGCTTCAGGCAAAGGGCGAGGTTGAGAAGGTTGGACTTTCTTGATAGTCTCAGTTGGTAAGGAAATTGAAACTAGCACTATCGGCATCACTTTACATTGCAAACCAGCTATCCAGCCAAAGGAGCATAATGACCCCAATCGGAATATGGAAGTAGCAAGGTGACCTTATTGAAACATACAAGATTCTTTGGGGACTTGACAGGGTAGATACCGAAAGATTACTTCCTCTTGTGGAAGATTCTAGGATCAGAGGATGTAATCTCAGAAGAAGACACGGATAAGGGGGAACTTCTCTCAGTGGTTGGTGGAACTATAGAAGTCTTTACCACAGAGGACTATTGAGGCTGGATCATTAAGCATATTCAAGGCTGAGATAGATATATTTTTAAATCAGCAAGGGAATTAAAGTTTATGGGGAAAAGCGCAAAAGTGGAATTGAGGATTATCAGATAGCCATGATCTCATTGAATCTGCTCTGATATGCAATCAGCTGAATGGGGTCATTCTCCTCCTACATCTTATAATCCTATGATTTTGTAGCAAGGTACACATGTCCTTTGCACTAAGCAGAGGCTGCTTGCCATATTAATAACAGAATGTTAAACAAATAAATAAAAGACCAAACTCAATTCACACATCCTGGAAACGGCTTTCAATTAAGTTACCTCTGGTCTCTTTGGCTTAATGGTGCATTGCTTTGGCATGGGGCAGCATGGTGACACTGTGGTTAGCACTGCCGCCTCACAGTACAAGGGAACTGGGTGTGATTCCAGCCTTAGGCCACTATCTGTGTGGAGTTTGCCCATTCTGCCTATGTCTGCATGGGTTTCCGCTGGGTGCTCCAGTTTCTATCCACAATCCAAAGACTTGCAGGTTAGGTGGATTGGCCATGCTAAATTGCCCTGTTTTGTCCAGCGGTGTGCAGGCTAGGTGGAATTTTCATGAACTTTTTAAGCTTCAAATATTCATTAGAAAAATAACAGAGGGAAGCAAATGTGATTCTGAAATATTGATGCGTTATGAAACCTGAGAGCAATACAATTATTACGGCAAGTGGTTTGTGATGGAATGATATCCTGTGATAAATTCTTCCCTGAACAGTTGCCATGCAATTTTCTGTCTGAGTACTGCATTTTTGAGTAATGCTCCTGAAGTCATTGAACATCCTAATTGCTTAGCAAAACTGCGTGGAAATAATTAATTTAGCACAATAAATGATGTGCCATAACAATGAACTAATGTGAAATTTCATAGACATAGCGAATATACTGATATGTTCTACTTGTTCATTCTGGATTGTACATGGAACAGAGTAAGCTAGCAAAGTAGTTCTGTCAGCTGTGATTCACTTCACAGCACACTTCCTGCTGAATTGTATAAACATCACAAGCAAATTCTGCATACCTTACTCAGATGAGGAATGGACAGTTTGTTCGCGGAAACTGATGAACTTTTACTAACTATTTGCACTACTCACAGAGGCAGAGTCGAGATGCTGTTAATCAGAGTCTTACTCATTGAGGTTCCAATCCAATTTGATCTGTCAATATCTGACGGTGCTGTCTAGTTATTAGCATGCAATTATTAAGACCATTTAGTACACCAGCCCACAAATCTTTACTTTAGCCAACAAACTATTTGCACTGATAGAACACAGAACATAGAACTGTACTGCACAGGAACGGGCCCTTCAGCCCATGATGTTTTGCTGAACATGACCCAAATTAAAATAATCACTTCTGCCTGCACTTGGTCCATATCGCTCCATTCCTTGCATGTTCATGTGCTTATTTAAAAGTCCCTTAAATGCCCCAATTGTATCTGCCTCCACCATCATCCCTGGCAGTGTATTCCACACTCCTACCACTCTGTGTGAAAAATTTGCCCCTCACATTTCCTTTGAAGTTTCCCCCTCTCACCTTAAATACATGCCCCCTAATTTTTGACATTTCAACTCTGTGAGAAAAAGATTCTGATCGTCAACCCTACCTATGCATCTCATTATTTTATACACTTCTATCAAGTCTCCCCTCAGCCTACACCACTCCAGAGAAAACAACCTGAGTTTTCTAGCCTCTCCTTCTAGTTCATACCCTCTGATCCAGGCACCATCCTGGCAAACTTCTTCGGTACCCATTCCAAAGCTTCCACATCCTTCCTATAATGTGGCGACCAGAATTGAACACAATACCCTAAGTGGCCTAGCCAAAGTCTTAAAAAACTGCAACATGACATCCTGACTGTCATACTCAATTCCCTGATCAATACAAGCAAACATGCCATTTGCCTTCTTTACCGTCCTATCTATTTGCGTGGCCACTTTGGGGGAGCTATGGACTTGAACCCCAAGGTCCCTCTGTACATCAATTCTGTTCAGGATCCTTCCATTAACTGTACACCTTTCCTTAACATTTTATCTCCCAAAGTGCAGCACCTGATACTTACCCAGAATAAACCCCACCTGCCATTTCATCGCCCATATCTGCAACTGATCTGTATCCCACTGTATCCTTTGACAACTTTCTACACTATCCACATCTTTGTATTGTCTGCAAATTTACTAACCCATCCATCTATATTTTCATTCAAGTCATTTATATTTATTACAAACAGCAGAGGTCCCAGTATGGATCCCTGTGGAAAACCACTAGCCAAGGACCTCCAGCCTGAAAAAACAATCTTCTAACACTACTCCCTGCCTTCTATGTGCAAGTCAATTCTGAATCCATGCAGGTAAGTCACCGTAAATCCCATGCATCTTAATCTTCTGGATGACCAACTTTGTCGAAAGCCTTACTAAAATCTATGTAGACAATATCCACTGCTCCACCCTCATCAATCTCCTTTGTCACCTCCTCGAAAAAGTCAATTACGTTATTAAGACATGACCTGCACCGCACCAAAGCCATGCTGACTTTCCCTAATTAGGCCATGCTTTTCCAAATGTGTGTAAATCCGATCCTTAAAAATTCTCTCCAATAGCTTCCCAACCAATGATGTGAGACTTAGCAGTCTATATAGTTTCCTGGATTATTCCTATTTTCCTTCATGAATAGAGGAACAACATTAGCTACTACTCACCAGTCCTACAGGACCTGTCCAGTGGCTAATGAGGATACAATGATCTTGGTCAAGGCCCCAGCAATCTCCTCTGTTGCCTCTCACAATAACCTGGGATAGATACCATTGGGTCCTGGGGACTTATCCACCTTAATGCTCTTCAAGAGACCCAACACCACTTCTTTCTTGATCTCTAAATGCTGTAGCATATTAGCACGCTCCACAAAAATCCCACTATCCTCCATATCCTTCTCCTGGATGAATACTGATACAAAGTTCTCATTTAGAATCTCACCCATATCCTCTGCCTCCAAGCACAAGTTCCCTCCTTTATCCTTGAGCGGTTCTACGTTCTCCTTAGTTATCCACTTGTTTTTAATGTATGCATAGAATGCCTTGGTATTGTCTTTAACTCTACTTGCCAAGATCAGTTCTTAGTCCCTTCTTACTCTCCTTGCTGCTTGAGTTCTTTCCTGCTGGCTTCATATTCCTCACGGGCCCCGTCTAATTTTGGCTTCGTAAACCTTACAAATACTTACTTTTTTCCTTTTGACTAAATTCATAACCTCCCTTGTTACCCAAGGTCTCTTCACCTTGCCATCCTTGTCTTTCTTCCTTATTGGAACATGTCAGTCCTGAACTCTCATCAGCAGGTCTTTAATCAATTCCCACATGTCA